GAGGTGAGGTGGCGCTGTTGTCGATGTGTAGAGTGCAAAAAACAGTCGATCTGCTTAGAAGGGTAGTTGTTGTGTGGCGTCAAAGTGAGGAGTTTCGTTTCCATCGCTCTAAAGCATGTTTTCAAAAGGCTTGATGACGAAAAAAGACCAGATGCATGAACCCATCGTGCTACTGTCCTATACGGTAAAGCATTTGCTCCACAGGCTTCCACTAATCCTCGATAGCATTCTGTTGCATTTTTGCCACCGACTGCCTGAATTTTAAGCCACGATCGCTGATCACCTTTTGAAAACATGCTTTAGAGCGATGGAAACAAAACTCCTCACTTTAACGCCACACAACAGCTACCCTTCTAAGCAGATCGACTGTTTTTTGCACTCTATATATCGACAACAGCGCCACCTCACCGCTCCCATATCCCATTTGCGCATGCCCGCCCTTCTGTGAGTTTCAATGTTAAGTTGCCAATATTTAATTTACAATTCTCGTATATAATTTATACCTATGATTTTCCTATCGATAGAGATAACTATAACAGCCTTACTGCTTATTTTGCAAATGATACCTGAGTTATACTCAAATCTAGATCTGTTACAAATACCATTAATAAACTACAGACAAAAATACATGATTTTGAAACCTGGTATTCTAACTGAAAGGTCAAAACTAATGCCCTAAAACCAAACCTGCTCATTATTAAAAAACCTAGACGACTTACTATTAACAATAGATTAACTTTCTTTGGAAATGATATTCCTATTGTTGATAAGGCCACTAATCTGGGCCTTACAATAAATAAAAGTCTTAACTGGAATAATCATGCTAAGAAAATAATAGCTAAAGCCACTGGAACATACCATAAATTAAAATATCTACAAGGCGTAACTTCAAAATTTCACTTAAAAACAAAAAATACATATACGAAACCCATAAGTAAATTACTAAGAAAAATATGTAGAGTCCCATATTTTATTCGAAACAAAGATTTTAAATTAAAGATCCTCACCGAAACTTTAATGACACTTAACAGACAATTTTATAAAAAAGCACAAAAATGCTCAGCCGCAAACTACAGCAATATTTTTAAAGCAGAAATGCTAATTGCAGATTCCAAAATCAGACCCCTAGCCCACTTTTTCACTAGCGTTGCTATTTTGTCAGATAAATTCAATTCATTCTTCACTATTTTTAATATTTTATTAATACTTATAATTCAATTTATAAATTTTAATTATAACACTGCAAGCGATTGTCGCAGCAGTCTTATCTCTAACTGTTCAGAACTCTGATTTCTTATTGGTGTTGCAATTCAGTCAATGGTGTTGCAATTGCAGCAAATAGTTCAAAATTATTTTTTCTTTCTGTTTTCAAAACTCGTGATGAAAATCACTTCACAACTTCACAAATCAAGATGAAAAGGTAAAAGCCTTAAGCAATAATATGACTATGGCTAGTAAAAATATATTATAACTGTTAATAAGTAGTGTCAGGCTTGGATGGTTTGCTCTTTCCGATTCGGTAGTATATATTAAGAACAGCAACTACGAAACACCTTATGGATTATTAGTTTTGCTAGTGGTTTGAAACCCTCTCCTGCGATGCCATTTACAACTCTTCATTTCCCTTAGAGATACCATTCAAAAAGACAGCATTAAGATTCAAGCATCACTAGCTGCGGTGAGTGTGCGGGTGGGTGACCACTTGGATCAGTCTGCGTAGGGACCGAGGGTGTGCGGTATTGGTCCTCGTTAAACTATTCTACAGTAAAGTGCTCGACTTCGCGTGCAGGTCGTCGGGCTACCGAAGCGGGGGTGCCATCCCCTCTGCAGAGGATCAAAATTGTGATCGATGGCGAGTCCTCGGATCATCCTCAGGGATGTTTCCCGGACCGTCGCCAATAGCCCATTGTGTACTAAGCTCTAGTGCGACGTAAATGAACAACAACAACAACCATTATTAATGAATAATTATATAGGGTATTTTTATACAGTTTAACTGTTTTTCTAATTTAAGAGATGTTTTTTTTTTTGTTTATTTAATTTAATGTTTGCAATTTCGCTAATAATTTAACTGAACCTTTTTTTTGTTATTAAAGTCCAAATGAATACCCTTTCTTTGTACAGGATAAAAACAGAAGCAAGTAATCAATCAATCGGTATTACTTAGCACTACGCAATCATACACAAAACTTAAAAGCATTCCGGTACGATTAGAAAAGTTAAAATAAATGAAAAATATTGTTCATTGCACTTTCCAGTGAATTTGCGTAATTAGATTAAGCAAAACACGCTTTTAGAAATACAACTTATCAAAGTATTGTTTGACTATAATCAAGATCTTTCGAAATCGAAAATTATGTTATTGTTCGCAACCATCTCTTGATAGTACAAATCTGACAAAATCAAGCAATTTCCCAGATTAATTTTCACTTTACTACTAAACTTAAGCTATTAGGACCAATTTTAGGAACTTAAACGCTACTGGACTTATAAGAGAGACACAAGAACTCTTCTTTCTATTATAAAAGATTAATGCATTACTATATTTTCAGAACTACCATTTACATAAGTTATAATACACTTTATGTAATTCTCAAAAAACGGTATTTTTTAAATATTTCCACTGAAAAATTAACATAAATTAAAATCGATATAAAAAAACTCCTTAATTCTTTACACACATCAAATGATAACAAATACCCACTGCACCTAAAATATACACAGATATTTTGGCATTTTTCAGTGAAACTTTTTGCAACTTTCTTAAAGTTAAGTATTTCATCAATCATAATGTATTACAAGCATTAGACACAACTTCATTTTAAAGGAGCTTAGCAACGATAATGTACGATGAAATCTAAGTTTTCTTATTAAAACAAAATATACTAACAAATATAGATATTTGCGTAGTTAAGAAAACAAATTCAATTCAAAGCGAAACGCACATAGTTACTAATGGATGTAATTTGTTTCTGTTGAGGAAATAATATTCATCAGATTTAAAGCTATTTTCATGTTTTTACTCGTATAATTGGGAATTGATAATATTTTTTTTTATAATTATGAATTATAATGTTGGTTGTCAAGATATATAAAGCCCCACATACGTATAGACACTAATTTAAAATGAATACTTGTTTCAAAGTAGTATATCATCATATAAGCTTGAATCGCCAAACTTAACATGATCAGCGAAATACTGTTGTTACTCTTATTTACATTCTTCGTAGTGAATTCGGAAAGTGAGTTTTTTCTTTAATTCTAAAATACATGGCATGAAATAAATTGCAGAATATGTTAAAATGATATAAGTAAAACAAAAAAAATATTCAACCAAGAATTCAATTTCTTTTAATTAAAAGTAAATAAAATTACAAATTACTGAAAGATAATCATCAAACATTTTAACAAATGTTATCTTAGTATAAATTTGGCTTCTATTTTGCAAAGGAAATCAAATACCGTCTCTTTAAACGTATTTACCAAACTCTCATTTGAAAAAGAAAAATTACGTGAAAAAAAGATATTTATATAGGATATTTGTTCGTAAACAGTGCTTTTTTTTTAACGTTTTATAAGATACATTAATAATCAATAATACATCAATAAGAATTGCCTCGAACATATTTATTCTAACTGATATGTAAGTACTAATCCTAACTTAATTAAATTAATTGACTAATATATTAAATAAAACTTGTGCATGTAAAGCAACGTATTGTGCATGAAACAGATCGTTAAGTTACATATATTTGAAACGAATCACCTTAACGGTAATTTATAATAACATATTAATGTAATTTACGCTAAAAAATAATAACTGTAAAACGGTTAATAATTTTAGACACCGGTTCAAATGAGTTTATCTTAAGACATAATACGTAACGTAATAAGTTAAAATCATGGAATTATGTTTGTTTGAACGCAAAAACATAGCGTTTGTTAGATTTTTATTCAGCGATCGACTTTTTGCATTAAAATTGAGAACATAAATTTTAAAATTATGTTCCGTTTGCTTTTTTTATTTATTTTCTGGCCAAGTAACCATTTTAAGATCCCTTATAGACTCTTGAAAATATGCAGCTAACACAACCATTTATAGAAATTGTTTTATTTTAAGCTGTATTCTAACGCGTTACAGGAATCGTAATTAACTTTTGCTTTGTTGATGCGTGGTTGATGCTTTAAATAAATGTTATTTTATGATAAAAACTCTTCAGATTGATCCGTTTTTCCATTCAACGTCATCTTCTTTAAGGCAGCTATTTTCGGGAAAAAACGAGCTTAAAAACTTAAGAAAGTTCTTCAGAAGTGTTACCACCACTTTACGTAATATCACATCCTAAGCTAGTGAAAACAAGATAAAACTTGAGATTTCCCGGTTAATAAAAATGCCCCAAAACCCATCATATTGGCACTTGCAGTATTTTACATTTATAGTATTTTATAGTTTGATATTTTTTTACGATATTGGGGGAAGTATTCAATAAAAATAGATTTTGAAACAATTGAGCTAATATTAAAAATAAATAACACTTTAAAAAAAAGTGAGGAGTCACACTAGCTAAAATAAATTTTCTGGGTAAACATAATTTTTTTTTTCCAAGTTTCAACAATNATCACATCTTAAGCTAATGAAAACAAGATAAAACTTGAGATTTTCCGGTTAATAAAAATGCCCCAAAAACCAACATATAGGCACTTGCAGTATTTTACATTTATAGTATTTTATAGTTTGATATTTTTTACGATATTGGAAAAAGTATTCAACAAAAATAGATTTTGAAACAATTGAGCTAATATTAAAAATAAATAACACTTTAAAAAAAAAGTGAGGAGTCACATTAGTTAGAATAAATTTTCTGGGTAAACATAATTTTTTTTTTCAAGTTTCAACAATTCACATAATTACATAATTTCAACAAAATTATTCAATAAAATAAAGTCATATATTTTTTTGTATTCAGTGCCATTTTTATTTATCTAAATAGACTGTCCTCAAATGTACTACTGGTTGGAAGCTGGAAAAACATGCATCCATGTTTCAAGCAGAAAAATTAAGCTAAGCGACAAGGAATCGTACTGTACGAATGAGGCAGGAGGCGGCCGCCCATTTATGAAACGACTGAATGATGATGCTTACAAGGAATTGGCCAAGAAGATAAGAGATAACATCAAAAATCTAATCCCTCAGCAAGTATACATTGGTACAAATACTTTATTTGAATACATTTAAATGTAGATAAAAGTACTTAAAAACAAATCTTGCTTAGTAAACTAAAACTAAATAGTTAAAAACAGAACTAAATAACCTTGCAGCATTCAACGGTACTATATCTATTTTTGAATTATTAATATATTTATAATCATAAATATACAGTGTGTGTGTTTATATATATTGTATATATATCAAATGTAGAGAAAACATGGAAACATTCTTAATTTTCTTCGTTTTTTTTTTTTTTTTTTTTTTTTTTTTTTTTTTTTTTTTTTTTTTTTTTTTTTNCCTAAATTAAGACAAAATAATGAAGAATATCTATATATACATTACTCTAAAACGGCGACAAGAAAGCATAATTACAACTCCCCGAATGGCAACGCTAGAAAATCGACCAATGATTGCCGCTGAAAATGTCACATGCCAAATCTAGCTGAGGTGGCTCAACATTTCAGCTAGCGCTTTCAGAAACGGAAACTGTACTTATTCTACTTTGTACTTATTCACAGTTATTTAGATCTAAGAGAAACAGTTTTTCATCACTGAATTTTTTTTAAATTTACAAAACCAATTATTGATAAATTTTTGAATATAAATGAAAAAAAATTCGAACTACCTATTTTTGAATTTTATACTTCAGCACAAATACGATTCCGATAATCTAACAGACTATTTCAGTAACTATTATACTATTTTTTTTATAATTAAAAAATGCCAAAAAAATTAGTTTTACTTGTAATTAGAGTTTCAGAAAAAAATATTTAAAAGGGACACAGGTACCCCATCTACGTCAAAGGGTTAAAACACAAATTTTACGAGAGGAGCAGAATCTACCAGAAAATTGTTATTAAAAATTTAATTTAAAATAATTCAAAACGTGTAAAAGTTGACAGCCTGTGATTCCCCCTCATTCCAAAAAAAAATAGAAAATAGCACGCCAACTTTCAAGATTTTAAAAAGGATAGACAAATTAATTTATGAAACATGAAAAAAGAATCGAATAAATATTAACACCATATTTTAAAGTAACGCTATTATTATACAAAAATAAATTATCATAATAATGCTACAATTAAATTATTTGTTGAATTCTTTTCAAAGTACAAAATTTATGACAACAATCGTTGTACCTGCCAAAAACAAAATTCAATAAAAAATATTTTAGAGTACTCTACATTTGGTCCTAATGTTAAAAAAATAATACTTCATATTAAAAATTCGAAAATATACAAAATCTATTTTATCGTTTGCGAATTTTAATAAGTTATGTTTCAGAAGCAAAATTAAAATTAAATCCGAAATGCAAACATTGCGCTATTCACTGAATTATTTAGTGCGGTTTCAATTGCATTTGCACTTTTTTTTAAGAAAATTAAAAGCTTTTACTAAACAGTATAGTTAAACTGAGACTTGATAAAAACTCAATACTTACAATTATCTTGATTCATTACAACTGTCATCTCTTGGGATTTTTTTCTATTATACAAACTAAGTTCGAAATTGTTTGCTTTTATAAAATGTGTTCATAAAATTTGTATTTGTTCATAACATTCATAAAATTTGTTTTTTATAAACGTTTCCAAGCTGGAGCTTAATGAAGATTAAAATAAAGCTAATGAAGATTCTTAACTCCATAATTTAATATCAGTCACTAATCTTCCATTATGAAAACGTCAAAAGAATCCAATAAAAGCAATGAATATGATATCACAGCTCTCTTTCAGGAATGCTCTAAATTTAAAAACAAAAAATATTTAGATAGTTTTCGAGAGAATTAATTCATTATTTTGCATGCATACAAATTGATTTAATTTTATACAATAATCTTTAACTAAGGCTGTTGCCATACCATCAGTATTAAAGTATAGGATATGAAAATTCTTTAAGTACATATTCTATTTTTAAAAAAATGTCAAAACTGGTTTTCAGATATTATGGAGCTTACAAATTGTTAATGAAATTCAATAAGCCTTAATATACAGTTGTTTATAAATTTACTAATCCTTAATGATTTAAAAATTAAAATGACATAGTAATTTAGATAATAATTATATAAAGAAGAAATTATCTCAAGTTAGGAAGAAAAATGTTAAGCAAACTGTTCTATAAATGGTGGATTTTCAAATTCGCGTGATAATTTTAAGTTGTATTTAATTAATTTTTTTTTAATGAAAAAAAAATTAGATCAAGACATTTTTTAGGTAACAAATTATTAATGAGTTACAAATTGTTAATGAAATTCAATAAGCCTTAATATACAAAATTTGAAGCAAACTGTTCTATAAATGGTGGATTTTCAAACTCGTTTGCTAATTTTAAGTTTTATTTAATTTACTTATTTTTTTTAAATGAAAAAAAAATTAGATCAAGACATTTTTTGGGTAACAAATTATTCTACCGTAATCATCTCTAAAATTAGGAAACAAATTTTAACATTTGTTTTAAATAGAAAATATGGATGCTGGGTTTTTCCTTTTTACATTAACAATCGAAGTAGTAAACCTTTAATGTCACATTCTCTTTAATCGTTTTTGGCGGTAACAAAATCCTATTAAAAATGGCGAAATAAAGTAGATATTAACTTTCCCCTTTTTATCAAATCATGCATTTTAGTTTTATTCTTTAGGAATAAATCTATTTTAAATTTATAATGTGTTTTGGCTGTCTAGAAATCTTATATAACTAGACGACTAATACAATAATGTTTCGCTTATCTTTTTTTATAAGAAGCAGTGATCTCTGCGTTGTAACAACATTTATTTAATTGAAATAACTTTTAGTAAACATTTATTTATTATTATTTTATTTAAAAATCAAGAAAAATTGAATGTTTACAATTTTTTACACTTTAAACATCGTAATTTTACATGGCAAAATTCAAATTTTGAGCAAAATCTATCAAATAGTTCCTTAGATATCAAATTTTAAATAAGTCATGCATTTAAAATGCCTTTTATCATGAACTACTTTCGCTCGAATAACGAGAACTGAACAACTGATTCCGTTCGAATTTTTCCATGAAAAATTACATTTTAAATATGATTTAAAAAATTATTACTTTACAATTCAAACTTTTTTCGACTAATATATCCATATCGGCTAAGATATCCATATATTATTTTATTACTAAATAAAATAATGCGTACTAAAAGTTTTTTTTTTGCCTGAGATCTTTGGATGAACGAATTTAATGTGTGCAAAAATTTTTCAATTTGCTTAAAAAGTTCTCAGTATGGCGAAACACGTAAAAAGTTAAATCAACAATAAAGGGTCCAAACTATTGGAACCATATTTCCTAGATTGTAGGCTACCCCCTATATTTAGGGGTTTAGAAATCCGAATCTGTTAGGGAAAAAAACATGTTTATTTCATATTTAAGGCTTATTTGAGGTCACCTCTGTGTCCATTGAGATTGAGTCCTCGGACGTTATCCGATCATCAAATTAAAAATTATTCAGGGTGGTTAAGTTTTTTTTTTTTTTCTGCGCGCGCGCTGTACATTTTAATATAAGTAAGAAAATAACACTAATAACAGTTAAATTTTACGATGTTTCTCACTGTTTTTTTTTATTGGCAATTGTCTTTTGATGAATAGGAATGAAAAAAGAGGATGGATTTGGATCAAAGAAGTGGATATATGAGAACAACGAAGGAACTGTTCAACAAGACGACTATCCATTGTGGATAAGAGATCCCGAAAGCCTGAATTGTGCAGTGGTAGCAGCTGGAAACGATTTCAAAGTGGAGCCTTTTGCTTGCAATCAAGAAGTAGTATTTTTGTGTGAATTAGACAAAATGCGTAAGAATTCTTTTTTCCTTTTTTTTATCCTAATAAATAATTTAAGCAAAATATATAAAATTTGAAAATATAAATGTGTTTTACACAAAATGATTTTGAGATATTGTTCAAAAATAGGTCCGGATCATGATAACAAGTATCATTCAATGCCCACAATCTCGGAGACTAAAACATGCAAGACAGGTAACAGAAACAACACAGCACAAAGACGGATTAACACGACATTTTTGTTTAAAAGAAAGTATTAGAGCAGGTTTTCTAAGTTGCAACCTGCTGCTGATGTCTCTATAGACGAACATTCACAAGGATGTAGGCCCAACTTTGAATACCAACTTTTTTGACTCTCGTCTGCCAGAATGTTGTACCACCAATCTGTACAATCTGCCGCTTAAACAGAAAAAGTGTGAAGTCAATATGGGTGCATACACACACACACACTGGGCAATGGATTAGAAACCTTCGATTAATTCTAGGAGGAATTTGATTTGCCATTTGCATGACGTGTTTACCCTTGAAAAATACCAGGGTCCCCCTTCCGTGTCAGTAGAGCATGTCTTATATCAAGATACTCCCAACAGACACAGGTGGGTGCACTGCGAACAGGGCAAGATAAAATATCCCAAGTTGTTAATTTATCGGCCAATAAGTGTACTTTAATGAATAAAATAATCCCTTACGTTTATGAGTTATCAACCAACTTCGTCTTTATCTATAAATTCTTCAAAATCTAAGACGTTCAACACGATTTTAAAACAACAAAGCTGAACAATGTCCCGTTTCGTGTTATCATACACGTTATGCCTATTCTTCTTTATCAGGTCGCTACGTTGTCTAACAAAACGTAATTTGCGTCTGATATTTTAGTACAATTTAATATGAAAATAAATAGCTGATATGCTACTTTACATTTCATAGCATGCTGAATCCTAAAAAGTGGGGTCCCTAACTCTGAGAAAAATTTTCATTTTTGTAGAGTCAAAGCTTTAAAAAAAGTTAATTTTCTACAAAATATATACACATGCAGATTTATAAAAACTTAAAAGGAAAGTAGAATTATAATCACTAAATTGAAATTAAGTTATAAAAATATTCAGTTTACAAAAAAAAAAAAAGAGTTAATTTTTTTTAAAGATAAATTACAGGAAAATATTATGTAAGTTAGAAACACTTTTTACGTCATTTCACAAAATTTTTCCAAATCCGTACGTATATGTTTAAAAGAATACGAAATTTTATAGCAGTTATGTTTGTTTTTCTCTAATAATAGACAAAGGGTACCTTAAATACAGTCCTTAATTTCGGTGCTTAAAGGTAAAAATTAAGGAAATAAAATTCCGATTAAAAAAAGATTATAAATTCATAGAGAAGCGATTATGAAAAACTGTACTTGACAATAAAACTGGTATAAAACAATTTAAACACGCCTTCATTGTCCGATTGCCTCTGACCCCGATGGGGGTGTCAGATTTTGGTAGTGCCTTTCGTTCGTTTTAATACTAATTTTTAAAAAATATGCTACTAAAAGAGTTAATGATTATTGAACATCCTTTATATTTATTTATTTCACTAACAATAAATTTCCTTACTTTTTGCAGCTTGTCATCATGAACAACTGAGCTACGTCAACTACCACGATAAATGCCTCTTTTTGTTTCCTCGAAAAGAGTCCTACAGAACTGCACCAAATTTTTGCATAGATGGCCATCTGTTCCCTTACAAAGATGCCAGTTCCACGAAAAGCGTGGCTTCAGCAATTCTCAGCTCGCCTCTAGATGGAGGAGTGTTCTTAGGATTAAAGAAAATGGATGATGGATCATGGCAATACGATAATGGGTAAATGATATATTTCAATATTCATTTTTGCAATGCACAATTACTCTCACGCTTTAATAGACAGCTAGGCATAGTGAGTTCCAACCTGCAATAGATGCAACAAGAGGCAAGTTAAATATGGCAATTTTGAGAGGCTAAAAGTTCTAATGATGGTTGAGGCAAAGAATATACATAGGGAAAGAAGTCTAGCTTCCATTGAGATAATGTAAACCAGTACTCCAAGGTTAGATAGGGTCCATGTGCATAAAGGAAAAAACAAGGCACAACAGCAGAGATTCTTGAAACGGAACCCTCCTCTCCTCCTAACCAATACTGGGGTTCTGGGAAGCGTTGGTGTGAAGAAGAAAAGCTGTCTTTATTTTATCGTTGGTTTGTTCTACGTTTTTACACTATTGATAAACAGTCCTATACTATTAATTAAGATATTTCTTTAAAAATGCATTTATGTCATTCATGCTAATTAAATCTGCATACACATTTCGAAAGAAAGGACAAAATGGTGGTTCAGCGTACCCCAATCATACACGTAAAGTTGTCCGATAAACAGTTCACAGATGGCGTACCTCTTGGTTGTCACTTAGCTTCTTACGTGCGTGCGCTGGATCTTAGTTCAAATGACACTCTGCTAAATCTGAGTATTTTACCCTGTAAGTTGTTTTTCTAGTATGACATACAGTTCCCCACATTATTTAAGTATTCGAAGGGCTGGACTTCTTCTCTTTTCTATATTCTAAGGTTTTGGTGTGGAAGTTTGAAGAGAAGGGTAACAATTCAAAAGCAAATCAGAGCATTACCATTAAAAGATCCTAAAAAATGGGGCTAGATGCTTGCCATGTGTGGCCACGATTTTTTATGCGTGTATATAATACCTTCAAACCAATCAATTAATTTAAATATTTTTAAGTAAATTAAAAAGTACTTTTAATTGACCTGAATGAGATGTTTTTATTTCATTTATTGGTTAACACAAAAGAAAGAAAAAGCCAATGGTACATATATTATCTTGCAGTTTTGCAGTGTCTCTAACAAAGAAAATAATAAACTAAAACTATTTTTAAAAAAAAAAAATTTTTTTAGTACTTGCATTTAATTTTTAAAAAATTTATAAAAGGTTAAAAAAAACTCGATATTCAAAGAAGTTTGAAGACATAATAAAAGGTTTAAGAACAGACAAAAACTAAACTGAAAATAAGAATAAAAAAAGGGAGATACCAAAGTGCTAAAATAGAACCGAAGCATCAAAATTTTTGCAAACTTATCTCATTGTACTAGCAGCATCTACACTTTTAAAACTAAAATAAGAAAAAGAAATTCTATTGTAGATTTTTGAGAAGATCTGGCTTCAAAAGAAGAAATAAATAAGAAAAGAAATTGCTTTCTGGATCTATACAGTAAGGGGCTGGGTAAAAAATTCCAAATATAAATATGTGTATTTTTCTATACACAAGCCTTTAGGTGGTAGGTGGATCATTTTAAATTATTTACCCTTTGTGAGACAGAAAAATTTGTACCAAAATGACGGTCAAAAAAACGTCTTAAAAAATGTGATCACTGCATGTATGAATCAATCTGCTTTATCTGTACATTTTGTTCAAAATAAAAACTTGAAAGTAGGCTGTTTACAAACTATATAGTTTACGAGATAAAAACTATTTCAAGTTTTAGTCAACCAGTAAAAACAATCCCTCTTATTATTTTCAAAAATAAGCGGGGCAGTTTTATCCTACCGCCCCTGAAAGGGATGGGTCTTAGTTTAATTAGATTTTTCCCGGAATTGAAGAGTGCTAAAATAGTTCATTAACCCACAAACATACACTTTTAAAATTTGGCAACAAAAAAGCTCTAACTCATTTATAGTACATTTAATTTTGGACATTAATTTAAAAATAATTCAAAAAAATGTTCAAATCACTTCAAGGCTAAAAAAAATCATTGTGATTCTAATGTTCGATACATGTCTTTGAAACTCAAATTTATATTTTTTTTAAAAAAAATTTTTGTTTTGTTTACAGAGTTGAAGAGAAAGATCGGTGGAGTGAAGGTGAGGAAAGGGAATGGGATTGTGGAATAATGGCATTCGAACAAGATTTTTCTTTTGGTTTATTTACTTTCAGTTGTGATGATGATATGAGAATATTGTGTGAGTATAAAGGTGAGTAACAAGCAATAAGTTCATCATGTTTTGTTTGTTTGCAGCATTCAATACGCGCAAGAGAATAGTATTTTAATACTTAAATACATACTTATGTTCAATTCAATCTAAAAATAAATTTTTGACTAAATTGTTTCAATAGCCAGAAAAGCTATACAAACACATAGAATGCCCCACAATGCTTCTCGATATTAGCTCAATTTAAATCATTTCAGTTAGATTATGATAACAGGAAAAACTGCGCTTTCTTGCATGAGAAAAGTATTTGCTGTTGACCTAATTTCTTAATGAATAATATTTCCTACTAACTGCTGGATCGTTAATCATGGAGCTATTCTGCCAGTCACAATTTTTTTTTAAACATAACTTTTTTAAAAATAATAATTTTCAAAAAAAATCTTTCCTTCTATCAAATAGACAATATGATGAAGAAAGAATATAACATATAGATATCCTATAAGTTATATTCTTTCAAAACAAAATAAAAAATTAAAATATATTTTAAAGCATGAAGATTACAATAAAGCTTAAGCCCAGCAAGAATAAGAAAGAAATATAAACTAAGAAAACTAAGCTAAATAAATGAAAACTAAGATACCTTAAAAGAATATGAAAGATAACATCAAATTTAATGAAATAAAGAAATTAATTCCTCAACAAACACAAAATGCTAAAGGTTGTCTCGTGTAATGTAATAATAAAATTATAAATAAATCGGTTTTTGTACAATTTTAAATCAGAATAACTAAATTCAGGTGTCATTGAAATATATTCTTATTCTCTAAATACATAATTGTGTTTGTCAAATTAAGAGTGATTTAACAGAAGTGCTTCCAGTTTTGTATTATTCGCAGTACTAAGATTAATAACCAAAACAAAGTCACTTGTATTCATTACACCCAGTATCATCATCTGAAATGTTAATTAAACTTGCATTATTTTTGTAATGTACTTAATACATTGTTTTTCATGATTGAATGTGAATGTTAATAAATGAAATGAATCTGAATGTAAAAGAAAATAGAATGAATGGCTGTGGCATGGGGGGGGGAGAGTATATACAATAAAATGAATAGAATTCTCAAAAAAATTTGTATTTTGATATGACAAGTTACTTTTAAAGTTAAAATTTTATAGCATATACAATGTTCCTAAAAGATTGTAGATATAAATATATAGATATGTGTGTTAACAAATATTTCTTTCCATATAAAATATTGTTTCTGATCTTAATTATGATTCTGATATGTTTTGTAAATAGCTGAATTCAGTATGATTGTTTTTTTTTCTCATTCTGTCAGTGTCATAAACAGTTAATAAAATTATTTGAAAGCATAAATTGTGTGTGTGAAAATTTGTTATATTTTTATTTGAACACCTCGTAAAAGCAAACAAATATGGGACAGAAATGTATAACCTTGATGCCACAAATGGGCAAAACAATAAATAAAAACTTCAAGAATTCACTTATCTAATTTTGCTTTAGTAATCAATAATTTGTTTAGTAATCAATTAATTGTTTACTAACCAATTTACAGGGCATCTGCTACATTTTAGATTTTCAAATTCATGACTTTTCATGAATAATTCCAAGAATTTTTCATGCCTTACCAAAGTTACTATTTTCTCTACAAAAACACAACAATCAATTTAAAAAAGCAGTATAATAACATTAATTAAAGTGATAGATATAACCAAAACTGCTATACTCTACATCTTCATATTTATATATTTTAAACTTAAAAAACAGTGTAAAGAAAGAGTTGAAGCAATAAAGTAGCTGAAAAAAAATACAAAAGCAAATAACTAAATACTGTCAGATATATGTAGTTATTTAAATCTGTTTCATTTATTCTTTAAAGTAAGTAAGATACAAAAAGCCTGAACTAGAATTTTAAATTGATAAAATAAAAAAATAAATAATAAATAAATAAATAAAAATTCTGAAATCACAAAAGTTTAAAAGATAATTTCCTCTGGAAATGATGTTCTTTCTTCCCTTTTTTGAAAGAATGCCATTATTTTGAAAGTATATGATAAAAACATTTTATATTTTAATAGAATATGACTATGAGTGGCAATTTTGCTACAAATATAGATATTTGGAACACTGCGAAATTGGGAGGGGGTAAATTCCATTTTAAAATTAGATTTTTCGACGACCTAAACCCATCACTTTCCATGATTTTTTTTAAAAAAATAGTTAAAGTCTGGACAAATTTTGTTCAATAACAAAATCCATGATTTATCATGACTTTTCAGGTGCACAGATACCCTGAATTTAGTTGTTAGTAATCAAATGTTTACTATGAGAAAAAGCACGTCAAAAGCACGTCTGTGTGTATACTTATCAAGGAAATAGTCTGGAACCTTAATGAAAATTAGTCAAGAAATTTATAATGTTCCTAACTTAATTCATTTTAATATAGTAACATTTTCTAGCTATGAAACAACATTAATAAATTTAAGTCAACATAATTTTAAATAATGCTTACAAAAATGTTTTCAATCAATAAATTTAATTTAAAATGTGCAACATAGATATGTACAAAGAAAAAGAATAATGATAATATCAATTTTTAGAGTTAATTTGGCAAACAGAATCCACAAATTTGTCAAAGTCCATCATACTAATTTCAAATTTCTCAAGCTGTGTAGCTACGTCAAGCACCTGTTCCTCTAAAGATGGTTGATCACTGAAGGATGACAGGGGTGGGGCAAGCTGGCATTCTTGGTAAAAAGCACCTAAACCGTGATCGGGATCACAAGTAGCAAATGGCGGCTTCTGAAAGAAAAGAAAAAATCACAATATTAAATGTTTAAATTAAGAATCGCATTTTATTTCAGAATTAAACAAAGTTCATTACTACAAAGATATTCACAAAATACGGTAAACTCTTGATATAAAGACTTTTTCAACCAAACAAAATGTACAGATGGTTTCTAAATAATAAGTGCACAAAATAGTTACTAATAACTAAATCAAACTAAACTAATTTTGACAAAATAAGTGCTTTAGTTCAGAAATAACAAAGAATCAATTTTGATTGAATCTTGAAACCAATTTTGGTAATATGAACCATATTTTTTATCTAATATACTTTGTTTTTTATACTCTTGATAAGTTTAAGTCCCCTGTGGCAGAATTTCTTTGGGCTTTCTGCGACAATCTTCTCTAGCGCTAATATTTTTCTGCAAGATACTTTTAATAATAACTAATATACATGTTATTAATTAATTTTAAAGTAACAGAAACGTTGTATTTACAAAGAAAAGTCTATTTGGATATAATAAAATTTTATGTATTTTTTTTTAAATAATGAATATGTAATATTTTTTTATTCTAATATCATGGGCGATATTCTCACATTTTGTAAGAGGAAAACACACTAATTATTTCTTTTTTCACAATTCGTAAATCATCATCACATAGAAAAATAATAATTAAAAATCGTAAAATCAGTGAAAGAAAGGAAAACTAAAAATTTTTTACTTTTCCCAAAAGGAAATTTTAAAAAAATCCCAAGCATTTCTTCCCTTCTGATGCATGAAAAAGGTATCTCTTGAGTATAATTGTGGAGGAAAAAAATCTTTCTAACATTTCTGCAGAAAAGAAATTTTTTACTTCAATATTCTTTATTTTTCATTCTTCTGAAATAAGAATCGAAAAATTAATAACATTTCTTTCCCGTCCGATGCGCGAAAAAGACATTTTTTAAATATAATTTTAGAGAGAAAAAAAATTTCGAACATTTTTGCAGAAAAGAAAACTAAATTTTTTTACTTTCTAAGGAGAAATCTTTCTGCAAGAACTCTGTAACATTCTGCGACAATGTCGTCGAGATTCTGCCACTGGGTTTAAGTCACGTCTTCAAAAAACTCATAGCTACACAATACTTAAACAAAACCTTTAGAGTAGTTTTTAATGGTCATTTTCAACAACACAAAAAGTAAACATAAATCTGTAAAATAAAATTGCAAAAATACAGCCAAATAGTGAAATAATAACTTACAAGATCAACTAGAACAAAATCACTACCATCTGATACATCGCTGCAAGAAAGTCTATCAGCATCTTTAATAATATCTTTTCTATCCAGCTTAACGTCAGGAGAGACATTTGAATTGAGATCACCTTTCACATTATCATTGGCTTCTTCATTCTCTTGCCGCAAGCAACTGCGTGATGGGTGCAATATTGATTTTTGTAGGAATGCTAATTCAGGAAAACCAGGATCTGGCACTAAGTTGCATTGAGCAAAAGCTCCAACATTTTGGGAATTAGAGTTATTTCTTAAAACATGACTAAAATAAAACAAATACATTAAAAACTTGTATATAACAATGTCAATAATCAAACAATGCAGATAATAAAATTAGATAATTGATTAACAATTGTTTCCGAAAAATATTTAAATGATAGATAAATTGTTAAAATTTAATGAAAATTAGAGCAAATTAATAAAAAAATTTCTCAATGATACAATTAGAAGACTTAGCTCCTGATTTGCAGTGAAGAAAACTTAATATATAAAATTTTAATTATGAACAGTTAAAAAAAAACATTCACTTAGTAGAATGCCATGAGAACATATCAATTTTTAAGATTTTGGATTATTTTAGTTCACACCATACAGTTTACGGATGATGCAGTTTACTTTACTTTTACAGGGTTCCCACTCTATGATGAGATTGAAATTCAAGGACTTTCCAGGACTTTTCAAGGACCTAAACAAAATTTTCAAGGACCTTAATCTAAGACGAATTTTAAAAATTATTCTCTTCTATTTTACTAGAAGCAACAATGCTTGTTGTGGCAATAATTAATTTCAAATATAATACCTAAATGCTTTGCCTATATAGAGAGAAGAAAGTATATNTGCTTCGAATATGTTTACAAATTTTGAAAATTTCCATTTATTGGCATAATCAGAATTAAATTATCAGAATTTTATAATGGTCTTAATTACGATTTTAATTAGTTTTCAGATCTCTTATTTTATAGACTATTTATACAATTTAATGTTAAATGGCAATGAAGTTTATTATACGAACTTTTTAGAATAAATATTTTAATAGCTTTTCGTTAATCTTAAAATTGACAAATATAAATTAATGGAAACCAAGGATGTTTTGAAGAATTTAAATTACTCGATAATCTGAAAGGATTCTTTAGATTCGTTTTCTAAGTGTAGAAATAGTAAACTATAAATAAAATTGCAAAAAATTAGAAATGATGTTCAAAAAGGAATATGCTATGTTCATTTTAATATTTTTAAAGCATCAGCAATATAAGGATTTAATATAACGTAAGCAATATAATGATTTTTCAACAAAAATTATGAGAAGAGCCCGACCTAACTGAAAGCAACCTTACTGAGATCTCCACTCCTGATTGCCAAACTATATTTTTAAAAGGAGCAAGAGAAATTTTGTTAAATAATCTACTGTTTAGGAACAATTTTGTGAAATAGTCTACTCTTCAAGAGCAGTTCTTTTCAAATTCCTCTTCGTTGTTAAATACCTGAGTTGAATTTGATTAAAGTCTTTAATTTTCCTGTTGAGATTTTATCTGAGAAGAAATTCCTACAAACTTTGTAGAGTGTTCTCTTAGATATAAATCAGATATAACAACAGTAGCTGAAATATTAATTAAAAAAACAATTTATCGCAGAATGTACTGGATAAGATATTTTATGCTAAGGGAAGAAACTCTAAATAAAACAACAAATAAAAATTAGTGAATGATTCTTCTATTTGTTGTTATGAAAAATAATTAAGTTTAATATTTTCAAGGAAAATAGTTTTTTTTTTTTTTAATAATGTTAAGTGTAGACAAGCATAATTTTAAAAAAACTAATAACTATCCCTCAGTTCAACTTGTAAAAATTCTGAGATCACTAGTTAGTTGGATAAAAATCTTTTAAAATAAATTGTGCAAAGATATTTTCAAAACTTTCAAGACAATGACCATACGGAATTTATAACAGCATTTTCACCAAAATATAAAATAAGCTGATAAGCCTTATACAATTTTATTAATAATTATTTTTTCCCTTGAGTTTTGATACATTGAGTTGATTTTTTCCTAAAAGTCCTAAAAATTCTGAGATAAAAAATCATACTAAAGATATTAGAATACCTCAATCACTTTTGCGCAATTTGTGAACCATTGTTCTATGCAAAAGGCCAAATTTTTGCAAATATACGTTGTTTGACACACCCCCAAATCATGGCCAAGCACTTAACCTTGTTTTTCAGGGATCTTATCTTTCATTTATCAAATTAAAAAGAGATGACAATCACATGATAACATTATCAATCAATATTTAAGGCAACCAATGAAAGATGCATATTTTGTCAATGAATTAATTACTGAAAGAACCAATTCATGAAAGACTAATAGACAATTAATGAAAGACTTAATTAAGACATAAATGAAAATTTGATATTTTTGTTCACTCTAAAATGCTAAAGTTAAAAGCAGAAGGGAAAAAAAAAATTTAAATAGGATAAAAATATATCTAGTAGTAAAAAAGTAGCATCAATAGGTATAAAAAAAAATCATAATTTTTATTTACTTTTTAATAGTTCTTGGAGCAGAGCTTAATCTTTTAGGACTGAGATCAAGATTAAAGTAATCACTGTTCAACATAAAAGAGTTTTCCTTCTCTGAATTTTTAGGTTCTATAGTCATCTCCTGATCAGATCTATAAGCAACTGAAACGCTCATTGTTCCAACTGGTGTATGAACTTCTCCAAGCTTGTATTTCACAGGATTAATACCCAATTGTGAAATCTAAAATAAAAATTAACAAATATTACCATTAAGTGAATATAACCATTTATTTTATCACACTATGTATGGCTGGTATTCTGAACTTCACATGGAATGAAAATTATTAATTTTTTAATTGAACAAAAAAAAATTTTATGCAATCTGAAATATTGTTAATAATTAAAGTGAGGGCAAACTTTGTATTCAGAAATAGCCTCTTTCTCACTAATTTATCAACATTTAATATATACATGTCAACTAGATTATCACTGTATAACAAACATTATAAGAATTCATTTGTTATCAAACAATGCATATGTTTTAACTGTTGATATCTCTAACTCTACAAAAATTATGAAAGTAAAAGTTTTTGAAGTATAAAATTTTGATCTTTTGATTAAACTTTTGTGAGTTAAATTCTTCTCCTTTTCACTTAAATGACAACATACTTAATTTTACTTCCAGACATTGCTTTAGCATAAGACCACAAGAAATATTTGGAAATTATTTTAATTAGCAGGTCATTTTCACATGCACTATGTACTCGTTCCGTCTTAAAAATAGTTTATCTTCTTTCTAATAGTAAACTATATTGTTCTTGTTATGTCCCCATATGAATTAAATATGTAGAATAATTACTTGCTATGTAGAATTATTAATCCTCCATGTAAATCAGCCTTAAAATCAAATACACCAGACAGATTTCTAATAAGTAGTTTAAAAAAAAGTGATTAGAATAAACTTTGTGTCAAGTGAATTTTCAAAAATTCATAGTTAGTCACAAAAATTCATTGGCCAAATTTTACAACTTCCAAGAACTTCTGCTAATCATTACTTTTTTAAAATACTTCTAACTTTTTTAAAATATTTAACTCACCTAATCAATCAGCCTTAAAAATATCAATTATAATGAAAGAATTATCATGAAATAGATTTTTTAATTATAATGAATTAGTGATTAAACTTCATTTCATGTGAATTTTTTAAAGTTTATTATTTCATACTAGTCAAATTTAAAATATACTAAGAACTTCAAGCAAGTCAAACAAACAGTACAAACTTTAATGAGGACTATTAAAATAATTTATCTCTAATATTAATCACATATTTTATGCTTTAAATGATTCAAGTAAAGCACATGTCATTAGTTCATGTATGAAAATTAAATAAAGATAATTTAAAACCAAATTCAACATTCCACCTTTGATGGTTTTAAACCATTTTTGAAAGCTCCTGTAAATAAATAGATCTGTGTAAAAAAAAATTCTTCAACTAATTAAAGAAAATAAATTACCCTTGGTTCACCAGAATAGATTCTATACATCATAACATAATTGTATTTCTTGTGCTGCAGTGACATTTTGAATGCTGGATTAGCACGTGTTACAGGAATAACTGACTTCAACAGCATATACAATTTACGAAAAATCACTTCGATTTCGGCAGAAACTTTATACCTAGGATCCCAAAATGTTTGGGAATATACTTGACGTATGTTCCATTCTTCTAATGCTAATGTCTCTTGATCTATAGTATGCAAAAGAATTTCAACGTTCACAGAGAATTCATGCAGTGGATTAACATTTCTACAAGCTTCTTTCACTTTTTCTTGAACTTCTAAATCATCTTCAATGGCAATTTCATACTGAAATGAACAAAATATAATTTTTAAGGAATTCAAAATAATATACATATTATTCAAAAGCAAGAAATATTATGTTAAAAAAAAAATTTCTCTGAATAATTATTACTTATTATAAGAAAAAAAAGTTTTATTATAGTTCCAACTGTTATTGTTCTAATGCAATCTTTAAAAATGCAAATTTCTGAGACATATTTCAAAATGCTACTGCCATAAAGCTTTTGATGAGGCTTTTATATTTTATATATCTGACTAAAAGTTTATAATAAATAAAAAAGTATTAATGTAAAATAACAAAGCAGAACGTTAGGGTTAAAAAAAAACATATAAATTATACTTTTATGTATAGTGTGNAAAAAAAAAAAAAAAATACCAGAATAACTTATGATCAAGCGATTGGAGCTTCATATAGCAGCATTCAACCTTTGATCTAAAAGGGTGACCTCAAATAATTAATTAATGCATACAATATTTTAAGTTATGAAATCAAACACAAAAACATATTTTCTCAGAAAAGACTTTTTTTTCCACAGATCCAGAATCATGACCTTTAAAATATGGGAACAAGCCACAACCTAGAAAATATGGTCCTAACATTTTGAATAGTTCCTGACAATCAAATAGTTCCTGAAAAATCAAATTCTAAAAAAACGATTATTTTAAAATCTGATATTTTATTAACTATTTAGCCAATTGTGTTCATTTTGTATATTTTGAATTTTGCCAAAAAAACTTCCATTCTTCAAATAAATATAAACATTTGTATAAATTATAATTCAAAATTTTTTTGACTTTTATTAAATAAAATAATACAAAAATATCTAAACCAAATAAAAAAAAACTATTAAAAACTATTTTTGCACAGAATTCTCGTTAAATAAGATAATTTTATAATTGTGTTCAAAACATTTTCAATTCACTTAAAAATTTCTCAAGATCTGGAAAAATATGCAATAAGTAAAACTAACATTAAGGAGTCCAAACTTTCATCCCCTCACCTGCTCTGACCTAACTCCATATTTCTCAGATTGCTGCTATCTCCAACATTTTGAGTCAGAAATCCAAATCTGCCAAAAGGTACTTTTATTTGGAGAAAAAAAGCGTTTGTGTCTGTTTTCATAACTTAAAATATCATCTGCTGTAATTAATTAGCATATTTGAGGTCCATTATTAGGACATTTAGATTGAATCCTGGTACATGAAGATCTGATCACTAGATCAAAAGTTATTCAAGATTTTCTCTTTTTTTGTGCACTGTGCATTTATGAGAATACATATACATAAAAAAATAACACTTAATTCATTTAATAAATTTTAACGATATTCAAACCTTCCTATTCCATAGTACTAGGGTACATTACTAGTTATGCTATAGCACACGCATCAAACATTCCCATAGCACTAGTGTAGAAAATCAATTCAGGTATCACAAGTTTTCCCTCATGTTGTCAATACAAAAAGTTTTATTCCAATTACTTAAAACTTTATTTTATATAAGTCTGAAGTAACTTGACACTTTTTGACATAAAAGACTATGAAAAAAATTGAAAATGGCTATCACTAACTTCTTTGTAAATCTCACAGTTTAAATGTTATTTTATTAGATATGGAATACACTTACCACATCATTGTCTAAAGAACTGCAATTCGAAGAACGATCCCTCATTTTCCCAAATCTGGATTGAACAATGGCTTGTGGGACTTTTGCTATGAAAGACTTAATATACTTTTCTAACTTCTCACGCTCCCGAACAGACAACCTTTCAAGCGACTTAGCACTCATTTTGGAAAATAAAAAAGCTTACACTTTATTCAAGTATTCATTATTGTAAGTAGAGATGCAAATACCTGTAATATAATTCAAAAAATTAAAGCTATTCTAAATAAATAGCTAAAAATATTCAACATACAAAAAAAATTTTATTAAAGAAATATAAATTGCAAAATAAAAATATTTTAAATAATAGAACCATACATTTCCTATGATTGATAAGAATAAATCAAGGAGGACACATATAATCTAAAGGTTTTTTCATTTGCATAAACTGTTACCTATGATTTAGTTATAAATAGAGATAAAAAAAGAATTTTTAAATTACATATTTATTTCTAACTAATAACATTAAAAGTAAATTTTTCATCAGTGGAATAATTTTTTTTAATTGAAGAATTTAATGGAAAAATATGAATTGTTTTAATTAGAAGTGATATTTTAATGATTTTAGAAACAAGCTTTAAGAGAAAATTTAGCAATTTACTATTTGGATTATAATTTTACTAAGCATCAATGTTAGAAATTATTATTTTGATTAATATTTATTTCATTTAATAAATAAGAATGGTTTAAGAAAAAGACTATACTTTAAAACTAAATAAATTATTAATAAAATGATAAAACTTTAAAAATAAAACAAGTTTATTTACAAGAATAAATGATAAATCTATATATAAAATAATCAAGATATATCATTAAAATATATTATTTTAACCAGAAAACTTACAATAAGTAAAAATTATAAATATTATTAAGTATTATAAATATTATAACACCTTATAAGAATAGTAGATGAGTACTTTAGGAAGATACATATTACTCATAAATTTACAGTAAAAATGTGTAAGTGAAATGTGTTTATCAAGATTTAGTAAATCTAATTTCCTTTAACTTACTACGAATAACTAGTTGTCATTTTATTTTTTCATTTACTCTAAGTTCAGTAGCAGATTTATTACTTAGATCATAAATTGGCCTTGGATGAAAAAAATAATCTATTTATATTAATAACATTTAAGCAAAGCTCTCTTTTTACTCCTTTAATGGATGATGGCTAGAGCTTTTATCCATATAATTAAAGGATTCCACAATCTGAAAAATCTCAATCAGTGACACAATATAGGAAAGCTCTACAATATTAAGTTTGCAGACTGATTGAATAAATAGATAATCTGATTCAGAAAATGAATATAGAGCCATAATAATAAAATTTTCAATTATGCAGGAAGAACATCAGAACACAACAATGTGATTAAAAATGGTTCTAACATGTAGGTACCAATTAAAGGAATCTTTCTGAGTTAAAAAACTAAAACCTAACAGTTAGTTATAAAATACTCATATGTTTAAAAAAAAAAGTCTAAAAGGATCTAAAATAAAAGGAATACACTGCAAAAAATTAGTTCAGAAAAATATCAAAGAATAAAACATTTATGAAACAACAATTACCTTCAATCAACCACACATTAAATGTGTCTTAAATGAACTAAATCTGTGAAAGACTCAATATTTTATTAAACTAAAGATAAATAAAAAGTAAAGTAGATAATTTATAAATGTGAGATATATTATATTTCCTTATCTTGATCTGTCGAGTCAACTACAATCGCCAAGGTGCCAAATAAATTTAAAACTTGCAAATTTTTTAAAATAAAAAACATGCAGATGTTTGCCCAGGGGTGACTACAAGTTATACATTTCAAGTCCCTTTCTGTGATGTTTTTTTTAGTTTCTCGCGGGCGAATGCCCGGAAGTTTCCAAGACTTGGCCATTATTCTACCATAGATCACGCTACGGAAATCTCCCCACTATTATTAAGAGTGTCATCGTTATAAATTAAATTTTCATACCTTAAAAGTAATTTCTTACTTACTAACTGAACCAAAGCATCAAGCTAAAATTACAATTTCTTAAATCCTATGAAATGATTATTCATAAAAAATTTTAAAACAAAATTGATGGGGAAAAAAATAAAAAGATTCCTAAACTCTCTCATCACACTTATCACCAACCAAGAAAAACAAACGTATGATGGAGTACAATGTTCAGATATCTTAGGAACGAAAAAGAACAAAAAATAATCTTAAACAATCAAATGTAAATAGGCAAACAGAGATACAGTTATTTATGAGAAATTTTTTTACAACGGAACAACATATATGTAAACTTCTCAATTAATTTTCACTTGAAATATGAAAATTGTCAGTACTAACCTTTTACGCAGCATATATGTAAGCCTCAAAAAACGCTAAACATTTAAATCAAAATCATTTGCTATACAATGAAAAGAAAATATAGAGATATTCCCCAAAAAATATTAAAATGTAATGAATATGTAAAATTTCAGTTATATTCGAGAATAAAATTTTCAACGCAATTTTTTCTTTTTCTTGTTTTGTTTTGGTATGGCTCTGCATTGCCAACTAACAAAAACATATCTTTGAGATTCAAATTTAAACTTCAACTGATGCTTTCGGTATGACGTCACAGAAAGCATGTACTTTCCTTTTTGTTATCACTGCACGCATGCAATTCACAAATGCGAATTTGACTAAAGCTGTTGGTGGAAGATAGTTCTTTCTGATAAATTTCGCCAATCAAGTTCCCGTTTAATTTCGCAAATATCTGAGTTTCGCGAGTTAGTTTCCCTAAAAGAAGAAAACTCAGTGGCACAAAAGACCATAGAGGGCCAAGGCCTACTGTGCCCATATCAGTTTTCTTGACCTATGGCTCTGAGGTGCAGGAGCAGAAGTTCCGGTTTAAGTGGTCAGCCGAACGCGGAACCCCCAGTGTCTAATTCCCAAGTATGCTTGGTACTCATTTATCGACCCACTGAATGGATGAAAGGCTTAGTGAACCTTGCCTGACCGAGGATTGAACCCAGGACCTGTGCCACGGGAGAGCGAAGCGCTACCACTCAGTCTCTGGGCGTCAGTTTCCCTAAGATATAGTTTGCAATATAGTTGAAACGACAGAATCGTAGTAGTATTGAATATTTTTAAACAGTTATTCACTTTATTTGTATTCCTAAAAAGTGAACAATGTAAGAAAAGAAAAAAAAAGAAAATATGTCGTTTCGGCGCGAAACTGTGACCTACATTAGATAAGCTATTAGGAGAGTTTTTTGTAATATCTTTTATTTAATTGCCACAATTATTTGAATAAAATTATTTATGAACAATTATAGGAATAAATTTTGAATGATTAGCTTTGTTACGGGATAAAATTTGCATCATTTTCTCACTGGAAAAGTAAAAAATATGTAGAATTTCGCTCTTAAACTGAATTGTATTATTAAACAAAAGGATCAGAGTTTCCTCATTAGGTATTTATAGTAATAACTCATAAATTAATATTTCAACGCAACATAAAAATAAATATTTTGTTGTTGTTGTTTCTAATCCCCAAGAGGTCCATCCCAATTAGACCAATTCCATAAGTCCAAAAATGTCCAGGAAGTCTAAAAACAGATGAGGTTTTGAAAAAACCTCGTCGATCTTAAAATCGATACAGTTTAGAATATGCTCGGGCGAAGCCTGAGCAGTCCTACATTTAGTGCAAAGTCCAAAAGTCTTTTGCCCCTGAACATACGAGAAGACACCTCAAGTGACCACTTGCAAAGCGAGATAAACAAGTCTGCTGGCTTCTAGGTCCCTCAAAAAGCAAGGCACTTCCAGGTCGTTTTCTGAAATACCAACTATGCGGAGGAGGAACCCTCCAGAGGTATAAATATTTTACTGATGTTTATTTAGAAATACTTTTATTTTCTAACTCAACTACCAAGGGGATTATGTTAACATCACTCTCATCTTTATTCATATTTTTATCACTTTTTTTTACTTCATAACAAATTATGCATAACTTAAATCATTTACAAAAATAAATTTCTTACAAAATTTAAATAAAAATTTATAAATTAAACTTCACGTGTCAGATTTGTGTAGATCAATACTTTCGTATCATCCAGTTATAAACGCCTTTTATTCAATGTTCCATTGCCAATCCATCTAACCTCCTGAATGGCAATCATATCAATATTGTATTGTTCTATCTGCTCCAACAGCAAATGCAAAGTTTTGGCTCTATAGAGAAACAGAACATTCCAGTTTCCAATTCTCATATCCAAATTTCGTTTTCCAANTTAGGAACTAAACACTGGGAGTTTCGCGTTCGGCTGACCACCTAAACGGAACATCTGCTCCTGCACCCTGGAGCCCAAGGTCTAGAAAACTGAGATGGGCACAGTAGGCGTTGGCTCTCTTTGGGCTGTCGTGCCACTGAGTCTGAGTTGAGAATTTATATTTTTTTAAATGAAATTTAGAAATATAGCTTAGATATATGCTAAGTTAGTGCATGCTCAGTGTGCATAAGAAAAGAATCAAAGATGACTCAGAATTCATTGAAAAAGTTATAAACAGATTTGGACAGCAAACAAGACGATTACAATTCTTGTTCGATTAAGCAATTTTTTAATTGTTATGTATCAATTATTTAATTATTTGTTTTTGAATAAAAAATTTTTAATAAAAATTTTTTGTAACAAAATTATTTTTCTGTATAGCTTTAATTGTTTTTTAAAAAAATAAGCCAGGGGGGTGCAAGTGCACCCCCTTGCACCCCGCTGCCGGCGCCCTTGGATAGAGGTGTCAACCCTATGCCCAACCCCAGCCTGGAGGACCAGTCCCCTGATATAATCCCCAGAGGCAGGGTGCCCGGTTATACCCCCAGACACTGGGTACCCATTTAGTCACGTTTTACGACATGCATGCGCTGCATTGGGACTATTCTTTCATACCCGGTCACCACACGGGTAGAAAATTGTATCGCAACATTTGAGAGAAAGATTTTGTGGAGTATACTTGGTGGTGTAAATGAAAACAATAACTGGAGAAGGAGATTTAACTTTGAACTGTACAAGATTTTTAAACAACCTGATATTATTAAATACATGAAAATAAATAGAATAAATTGGATGGCCCTCGTGATTCGAATGAGTGATGACAATACAATAAAAAAGATACTGCTTTTTAGACCCATTGGAACAAGAAAGCGGGCAAGGGCGTGGTTGAGATGGGCTGACTCAGTGGAGTCTGATCTTTTCGCAATTAATGAAAAGAATTGGAGATCAAAGGTGAATCAAAAGTCATCATGGAGAAATTTTCAGAGGAAGGCATTGGCTCACATTGTGCTGTCTGGCCAACTATGATGATGATGAGTTATAAAAGCCTCTTTTTGCGCTGCCATCTGCTGATAATAGGCAGGTTCGGATAAGAGAGGAAAATAGGAATTTTTTAAATTATACAGATGCGATTATTCTTGGATAAATAAATTTTATGATTATATGCAAAAACTTTTCGATTCGCGTAAAAAATTCCTGAAATATGGCGAAATGTGCAAAAATTTACATAAAATTCAAATTAGTCGAAATAAAGGAAATGTTTATCCAGAAAAAGTACTTTTTTCTGATTCTGTAACTCATAATTAACTATATAACAGTATATAATTAGCATACTCGAGGATGACTCTTTGGACCCTTGAGATTGACACTTATTTAATAAACATCCGAATATTAAGGCAAAAACTATTCCGGTTGAATTTTTTTTCCTAACATATTTCTTTAATTTCTACTTTCATACTCAGCACAAAAATAATCCAAAGTCATTGATAACTGTGTTCTTGAACAAAGCTTTGAAATAATTAGTAGAAATAAAAAATAATACATTGGATAATATTTAACCTATACTTAATCAAACAACGACAATCTGCAGGGGTCACCGGAAATCGTTGTCTCACTTCCCAAAAATTCTCAGTATTCGGCAAATTTTGTCTAGCTATTCGGTAAATTTATGAAATTTCATTTGCTCTCTTTTTTTTTAGAACACAAGTAAAATTAGTCAATATTACACCTTTATTTAATTTTATTTTAAATACCGATGAAAAAAATATGCAGAAGTATCATTTCATCATTTTTAAATCTTTCTCAACTAATCCCTCCCTTGCAATTTTCTATTTCCCAATACAAAAAAGCCTGTTTCCTCAGAAATTGAAAAATAAGACGCCGATTAGCTTGACTTCAATAAACTCCTTCGCTTTCTTTTACGGAAATGAAAAATTCAAAAAAATGTAACGGTGGGCGTGCAAAGATAGTTAGTTCAAAAATATAGGCGAATGTTGCATGAAGTTGTAAAAAAATTACTACTGCAGAAATTTATCTTAATTTTTAAATGCATAAAATTTTGCCAACTAAAAGACAGTGTCAACGATGCAAAGTTAAATGTTTAACTTGGGGAAAAAAAATTTTAANTTGAGACACTGCACACAAACTTTATGAGGTGACCAAGATTTGTCCTGATCTCCGAGTTTCATGTCAAAATATGCGAGATAAAGTTGTTTTACATAGTCTGTAATGCTCCTCGTGCGATTTTTAACTGCACTATATTCGCCGCATGTGTAACAAAAGTCATCTGGGAAATTTACACAATGTCTTGAACTCAAAGCCATGTTTCACGAAACGCACAGAAAAAAAGCAAACTTTTAAATGACTCCCTATAACGCTTGCTAGTGTTTCTGAGAGGTCAGCGGACCTAGATAAGGATTCTCGTGACGCTATTGGTAGAAAAAAATTGCTACAGAGAGAGGGACGGTGACAGGAAGTAGTGATGGAGGGGTACTTTTATAGATTTGACCAAAGTAGAATGCTGGTCCATCAAAAAGGGAAGAAATTCAAAAATGAAAATTTTCTTATGGTAAATGTTCATAAAAATTTCAGTAAAATAGAATTTTTCTAAAAATCGTGACGTGATGGACATTTTTCATTTTTATTTTCCATTTCAGCACCAAAAAATACATTAAGTTCACTTATCAGACCCCTTGTATTTTTTTCATCGCAGGCCTGTGTTATCAAAACTTAAATGAACATTCTTGTATCAAAATGTTATTGATGCTATTATTTTACGTCTTATTTAAAGGCTTCTTTTTTGCGCAGCATTAGTCAGTTTAGTGTAACCTATTAGCAAGGAAATTGTATTTTTCTTTTTAAGGCCAAGTACTCTAATGTCTGTAAATGGGTAACTAGTCCCACTTTGTTTAAAATTCGAATTAGTTTTGAAAGAAAGAAATAATTTATATGTACGGTTTTGCGAACTTATAGAAAAATAAATCACAACAAAATTATAAACTTGGCACTGTTTTAACTAAAGATTTAAAACAAAATAATAATAAAAAGCAGTTGACTTTTACAAAAAAAAAGACTAGTTTAAGCAGTTGAAATTTATATATTAAGTTCTAAATTAGTAATTATATATTTAAAATTTTGATGTTTTTCATTAAATCTTATAAGGTTAACAAAAAAATACGTATTTTTCACAACGTTTGGAGACAACGACGCCATATATTTTCCTTTTCCTTCAACAAAAAAATTGTTTAATTATATTAGGAACTTGA